GGACTCGACTGTGCGACTGAATAACAACTCCCAAAGCATAGTCCAGTGCTCTAACCACTGCACCATGCTAGATGTATTCTATCTCTTGGTTTCCAACTCTGTATCCAAATATTGCTTTGTTCTTGCAGCTTGCTTCTCTTATTGTGGTTTTCTTTCTTTTCCATAGTTCATCATTTCAAAATGTATTGTGTGAAACCATATTTTCCTCTACATGCATCTGTTAGGAAGTGCACTTGTGGAAATGAGCACTGTACCTAAACATCTTTAAGTACTGGATATTCTGTAGCAAGGAAGAATTTTTAAAGGCAAAGTGTGTGTGTGTGTGTTAAAATTTAATCAGCTTCACGTGTTTTTGTCCTGAAATCTGAATGGGAGTTTTGTGTAACAGAATTTTCTTGTAGCGGCACATAACTGGCCTCTTTTTGTTTTCTTCCTGCAGGAAGCATGAATGGGACAAACATGGGACTTGTGCAGCCATGCTGGAATCTTTGAATTCCCAGAAAAAGTACTTTAGTAAAGCACTGGAACTGTATGAAAAACTTGACCTCAACAGGTATTTACATGCTATCAGCTAAGACTTTCTTCACCATTAGCTTCTGTCTGTGCTGCCTCCCTTGAGTTTGTCCATAAGAGAGTGAATAAAATGCTTCTTCGTTTCTTTTGAATGGCTATTTTGACAATTAAATGACTTCGTATGTGTTTATTGCCAGCCAGATTAGATGAATTAGAATTGGTATCTTGATTATTACTTGCAACTTGCACAGTACCTGAATGTTGCCAGCAACTGAAATGTAAACCCATAGGAAAAAGGAAGTAGCATTTGAAGTTGTGGAGGGGCATATGCTGTCAGTGAATTGCTGCAGTAGATTCTGAGGAGTGTTTTGTGATGCACACTCTGTTCATGAGTGTGCTAGTCAAGCCTCCATCTTTCTACAAATGTGAGTATGCGCTACACAGCCCCATATGCCCTTTTAGCTCTGCACAATGGGAATGATAGAGGTGGACAGTCTTCTCAATAAAGACTAAGCTATTTTCCTAAACTGGTTTGATATTAGTGGATTGCCTCACGTGTATATAGCATAGAGCATCCATATGATATTCATTACCAGCCATTTAGTCTAATGGTTGTATGGTAATGTTGCTGAAGAAAAACGGAAATTAATTAGAACATGGGTTGTAATTGCTGAATGGCTTAGGGATCCAGGACCGTGCCCTGTTCTCCATCTCTCCTTTGTGTGTGTTTGTGTGTATATGTGCCAGGAAGTTGAAATGAGCTGGAAGGTTTCCCCCAGTTTGGGGTACCTTTTCTGGCTCATCTTTTACAGATGCTTTGATTAGTATGATATAACAGTATCGATTCATTATATTGCAATTGCCTGTAATATGTTAAATGCAAGTGTGAAGATGTGCATTCATCTTTCTTTTTTCCCCCTACAGTTATCTTTTGAAACTGGGAATAAAGCCAGGCAATACCTACTACCAGGTAAGAAGAGGCTTGACTTTGCATTGTGTTATGCCATCAGTGTAACAAAGCCATAACACATTGATATTATACCGTGAGGCAAAATGAGTCCTTTGAATAAAAGCTTTGTGTAACTTACCCCTCTCCATTGTTTCTTCAGTAAAGTGACTGTGTTGATCATAAAACTGTTTCACTTTTGAAGTGACGTTTGAGTCTTTCAGCAGTATTATGTTTAAATCTTCAGCTGGGAGTCATCAAAGAAGCTCTTACAAGCGTGTATAATGTAACACCAAAGATCCAGTGCCTTTCTCCAGAACAGGTATACCATCTTTCGCTATTACTCATTCCCTGGTCTGTCTCTGCTACTTTTGGGAAAGGATATTTTGAATATTAGAACTTTGGAAGAAAAACACTTGTAACATTTTGAAATTAAATACTTTTTGCAGATTTATGCTCATAACAAGATCGTTCCCCACCTCCATGTGATTAATTTTCAGCAGCAATCACCAAACAATTGATTGCAAGATTGAAAGTTTTCCCCCAAATTTAGATTGACAGAATTTGAAACTCTTCTAATGTGCTATGAAAATCTAAGAGCAATAATATTCTAAACATTTTATTTGGAAGTTGAGGGATTTGTTCCAATCCAGTTGAAGTTCTGGCTTAGTTTAGATGAACTGTACAGCTTATGTTTTCCTTCCTTGTCTAGAAGATGATTAGCCTCCAATCTCCTCCTTGTCTGCCGTTGCCATCTCTCTGAGTTAAACTATTTATGTAGCATTTTACAGTGTAGAAACTGCTTCTCGTTTACCTTAATTGCTTTGCGAAAGAAGCAAATGTCAGAAGTAGAGACTTCTGCAAGGCCGTGGCTGAGCTAGATTTTCATTGCCCACATTTGATACCAGCAGTATGCGTACTAGTCCCACGTGACCCCTCTATGTCAGTGAAAATGTAGCCTGTCATGGAGTGAGAATTATGTCTGTGGGAAAAGAAAATATATTCATTCTTAGCTGGATATCTATACATTGTCTTTAGAAAAATAGAGGAAGAACGCACACACCTTTGTGAGCCTAATATTTAGCCTCCCTGGTTTTGTAATTTGTGAATGAACAGTGATAACAGGGGTCCCTCCCAATTCATCAGAGCAACCATGAAATGGCTACTAAGCTAAAAGTGGCCCTGCTTTCAGTCAGATTTACACATTAAATCAGGTCCAGGAGACTGCTGTATATACCTTCTTCATAGGTGTAAAGTGTTTGAGATACTACATTAACAGCTGCGGTACAATTTCATAAAACATGCTAAAATAGGCATTGCAGGAAGTATTAGTATCCCAGTGCTCACAAATTATTCCTGTCCTAGAGAAATCTGAGGACTTTAGTAATACCGCCTTTGAGTAAGTAATGTGTCAATTGTAGCCTTATGGTGTTTATGAATACATTTTATTACAAAGTTTATATGTTTCTTTTCGGTCTAAACAAGATGACAGTCCTCTTCTTTAAAAGGTCTTGAAAAACGATATTCACCACACTGAGGATTCATCTGATTTCAATTGACAATCTGTTTCTGTCTAATTAGAAGCAATTGATGTATCGGTTTATCAGTTGTAGACATTCAAGTGCATGGACTTACAAGTTTAGTGCAGTGCATTTGAATCCCCACAGCTAATTAACTGGAATGTATCATCTTGGTCTTATATCTCTCCCCCCAAGTTCTCCTTAGTGAACTCTTAAATTGAAGCTCCAGCTTTGCTTCATTTTACTTTTCTTTTTTCTCTTCAGGGTGAAGAAGTACAAACAATTGGCCAGATCAAATTCTGTTTCACTAAGGATTTTATCCTGAGAAACTGTACTGAGTCAAAGGTTGATTCCTGTCCTGCATGTGGAAATATGCCCTTTGGAACTGAAGAGCTATCTACCTGCAATGACACCTTGACAAATTATCCTTCACATGTGTTGCTTTACAAGTGAAACAACAAGAAATCTGAAGCACTTTGCCAAATATTGTTGACAGTTTAAAAAATAGTGGTGTCTGGATTAATCTTGTCTATTCTGCAAGGGCATTGTTTGTTTAAAATTTTGGGTGTGTATGCGTAATTTACAATATTCATGCTGCAAATAATAGAGGATTGACTTCTCAGGTGTGACTACATTTTGGACTGCTGAAATGCCATTATATATTTGCTTTAAACAAGAACTTTAAAACTTCTTTTTCAATTTAAATCATTCTAAAGCAATTGAGTTGCAAGTGATTTCAGTGAAACCTGTTTCCAAGTCCCCCCCCCCAGAACTCCACCAGCTATGTAGTTAGTAACCATAAGTGCAGCACTTGTTATGTTTCTTCCAGGAAAAGTACTTTTCAGTCCAATCATAATCAGTTACATCCTTCTAAGGGCCAAAGTACATGTTACAAATTTTAGTGAGTTGGTTCCAGGTTCCTATTTCCAAAATTCATAATGTGCAGTTGATTAGCATGGAAGGGTGTAACTGTATTTAGAGCTGCTTCTTTGGAGGTAAATAATTGACCAGCACGTATACATGAGCAATCCATGAATCCCATGTAAGCACCAAATGCCCGGCAGCGGCTAGTCAATAGGAGAGCATGTCACTTGCAGTCATTATGATAGGAAAGGCAGCTTCTTTACCTCCAAGTAGTGTCATCCAATTCAATAGTGTTGTTCTAGAATGAGTAGTTTGCAGTGAAAATTCTCTTCCTTTCAACAAACATGCCAGTTTTTACATAGGGAAAATAGCTTTGCCCTGAGATGGAATTGTCATCTCAGATCCTTTCCTGATTGAACCCATTTGTTTTCTTTATTTGAGCCTTTAGTGACTTCCACATGGTGGGTTTCCCCACATTTTTCCTGCCGTTAAGCCTCCTGCAGCAGCCATTTCCCTACCACCAGAGGATTTTTTCAGAGTCCCCCCCCATTAGCAATTGACAAAATTATTGTAGCATTAAATCTCCTAGCTCCTCTGAATTCTCAGATGTCATTTTTTAAAAAGTCTGTAGCTGCTTTCATTGTGGAGATATAAGGGACAATGCGTACCTCCAACAAAAAAGAATTCGAGGTTTTGTTTTAAATGAAAGGCAAGCATCCATGGGGGGATCTAAGATGGGGGAAATAGCAGTAGAAAGGTTTAAGACTTTCCAGTCCACATAGCATCTTCCCCAGTTTTTCTGCCATCTTTCCTAAAATACTGTAGTAAGGCATGTTTAGGAAAGATGATGGGAAAGTTGGAAGATAAATGAAAGCATATTTCAGGTTTTTTGGGGGGTTGTGTTTTTGGTTTGTTTGTTTGATTTTACTTTTCAGTGCCAAGACCTGATATTGTTCTCTTTGTAATCAAATCTCTAGTATCTTGATTATCTTTGAGCTGTCTTATCAGAAGGAGAGAGAACATGTAGAAAGACAGGGTTTTATTAAGGACCTATGATAATTAGCCTGATACTAGAAGCCCCTTTGTATCTGTGGGTACCACCTTAGATCAGTCAATGGTTTGGCTTTAGTGCAGTCTTTAAACTCAGTCTGAAACATTCCATATTAGCTTTATGGGAATGATATTCTGATTGATAGTATAAAATGTTTACTTCTCTCTGAATATCTTTCAGTAGGCTGGTGAGCATTCTGACTGTTGTGGCCAATCCTATATCTGTTTCCTAGTAAACCCCACCCTGCAGCTCAGGTGGCCATGCCTCATGTTACTGTTTGCCACTTTTTGCTGAGAAGTCTGGCTGACTGCCTCCAACCAGGCTCTCTATGCTGTCAGTTCCTGGAACTCCTGCTTTTCTTGATCTACCTCCCAGGGCTGATGCTTGCTTGTGTGCCATCTATCACTCTCTGCTAGATCACGGTCATTGTCAAGGCCTCCAGTTAGGGCATGACACCATACCCTTACAAATATCTTTTTTCCTGAATAAAGAGAGCCTTTGGAGGCACTTTACAAATATCTGCCTAGTGAGGGCCTTGCAGATTGCATCTGACAGAATAGATCTGTTCTAGAAAAATATATTTCCACAGTGCCCACTCCTATTTAAACCAATAAAAATACTCAAGGTTCTGGACTTAAGTTGCTGAGCAGGTAGTATCATTCCAGTTTAGAGCATTTCATTGAAAAGTGTTATTATTGGAGAAGTCATTATCAAAACAGGTGGTTTCAAGAAACAAAAAGCAAAGAAAGTCCTCTATCGTGGCTGGGCATTGGAGGATCTTTCACAGCAACTCCCCTTATATTATGTTGGTTTCTATTAATGAAGTTCATGTGCTAACATGATACCAATTAGGACGGAAGAGCCAGTTTCCATATGAGAATTCTTAGCACAGCGAAGAAAGAGGGAGTGTGTGTATGCCTGTGCATTCCCAAATTATATGGTAACAAGGCTTTCAAGAGCCATTTGTGGTGGAGTTGTTAGCAGTGCTATCAACTAATAGGGATGTGGCAATTTAAGCTTGACTAAAATCATTTAATTGGATGATTAAATCTGCATGTGAATAAAACAATAATTGTGAACAAAATATACTTTGGTATGTTGCTTTGTATGTGTATCAGGTACTGTCTTAGTATCTTAAGGAAGAAGAAATACCTCTTCAAAGATGCTGCCAGCCATCTGCAATTTTATAAGTATTAAACTTTTCTCAATTGATATTTTGTTATTTGGAATCATTTTTAATTGACCAAGATTGAGGGGAGGGGCTGGTGCGGGTCAGCTATACAGCATCTGCTTTGTATGCAAAAGAACTTGGGTTCAGTCCTTGCCGTCTCCAGTTAAAAGGATCATGGGAAAGACCTCCAGCCAAGACCCTGGAGAGCCACTGTGAGTCAGTCGATAGTGCTAACCCTGAGAGACCAATGTTCTGACTCTGCACAAGGCAGCTTCATGCGATCAAGTTAATTATCTAACTGTTGCAGTGGGGGGAAATCTAGCCTTTGTAAACACATTGATGTGTATATGATGTGTAAAAATTGTTACGAGGAACTGTAGAAAGGGGAGGGGGGAGAGTGCTTGATGACACAATACACCATATGGCTCTATTTGGTGCTAATACTGTTTTGTTGACTTTTTTTAGTAATGCGATTTGGTTTAAGCTGTGCAGCATATAATTTAGTGAAAGCTAAATTAACTAGTTTTGCTCTTTCTTTTTTTTTCTTTTGTGTTAAATTGTTAGACTTTATTTAATGGAACACAGGGCCACAGCATTTCTAGAAAAAGTTAATCCCCACAACCAGGGAGTGACTGGACCAAGGATTAATTGATTGTTTTGTCTCTCTGTTTGGGAGCCAGTTTGGTGTAGTGGTTAAGAGAGGTGGACGCTAATCTGGAGAACTGGGTTTGATTCCCCACTCCTCCACATGAAGCCAGCTGGGTGACCTTGAACCAGCCACAGTTCTGTCAGAGCTTTCTCAGCCCCACCTACCTTACAGGGTGTCTGTTGTGGGGAGAGGAAGGGAAGGAGATTGTAAGCCGCTCTGAGACTCCCTCAGGTAGTGAAGGGCAGGGTATAAAAACCCAACTCCTCTTCTGGCTTTTCTCAGGCTTACAAATTAATATGTGAATGTATGCTGATCACAATAGTAATTCTAAAAGAATTATGAAGAGAGAGAGGGGAACAAGCAATGTAGTCCTCATTTATTTGGGACAGGAGTCTCTTGGAAAGTTCTGTGTTTGACTGAGGAAAGTAATTTTTTTTAAAATCCTGTTTTAGATGCTGAAGTCAAAGTAGTGGGGGCAGAGGGGAACAGCCAGACACATCATGAAAAGCATCTACTTTTCTTCAGGATCCAAACACTAGGATGGGGGTACAATTTACCAGGGCCCAAGAGTCCATGGGGCTACACTGGGGTCACACGCTCTTACTATTGATATGGTCTGTTTAGGTAGTGCCAGAAATTAAATAGAACATTTTGCATGTATCATAAGATTATATGTATGTGATAATGTCAGTGGTGAATGTTTGTATGTTACCAGTTCATTCTGGGCCCTGAGCTCTTTTTCAGAGCAGTATAGCACAATCAATGATAAGCAGCATTACTTTGCAGAAAATGAAGGCAATTTTGATGTGTTGTATTTTGTATTGTATTTGGTGTGTAGTAATTTATTCATAGAAGTATAGAGTTTGGGAGGGGGGTTGGGTTTTTTTGTATTTTGTTTGTGTGTCTCTGCACCTAGAAGTCATGGTGACCTTGGTGACTGACCCCTACTGGAGGCCTGGAGGATATTCAGAGAGGTGGCTGAATAAAGCCTGCCTCTGTCCTCCCGGTTGCTGGTATTTCAAGAAGGTCTCCCATCCACTTGCCAGAGTCAACTCTGCTTAACTTCTGACATCTGATGAGATCAGGCTAGCTTGGGCTGTCCAGGTCAGGGCTCTAGAAGTACAGTTTTGATGATGTGGTAGATCCTAGTATGAAGCTTAAACAATATTTTCAGCTAAATCTTTTCCTTGCAATAATTTTTTAAAATGGCTTTCATTTCTTAGCTTGCTTTCCTGCTTTGATCACTGACCTCACTACACATTCATCCACTGTGTTCCCACTTGGTCTGCTTTGATAAAATTGTAATATGTTATGATAAAAAATCTGTTTCTGCTTTTTTATTAGTTGTATTCTTGCACAGCACTTTCCATGTTGAATGTGGGAGAGAAGAAATTGTCTTCTAAATGAAATTATTTCAGAATTGCTGGTTCAACATAGCAATCTGAATACCCCCTTTGACAATTTACTTTGGGAAGTGTATTTTTGCGGAATTATAATTCCGCACATGTGCAAAAAGAGACTTGAGCCTGCTGTACTAAATGTGGTCTTAATTAATGAATTTGGTGGGCATATGTTCCTAGATGGGTACTCAGAAGGTTGAGTATAACAAACTTAAAAATACTTAAAGTATTTATTACAGTGTAGTAATTAACAATTAAAAACAGTATAAATACAGAAGAAATGCTAAAATCCAACCTATAGAACTTGCACTTCAACTGAACATGAATTGCATATGTGAATATCTCATAAAAAGCCACTAGACTTCCATAATCATTTAAAGGTTTAATAAGACTTGACTAACTTGTCTAAGGTAGTGTGTTCACAGTTGTGTTCTGCATTGCATATTGTGTTTAATTTTGGAGATGCAGTCTAGTTCCCTCTCTTGCACATTATTACAAGTAAAGTTTCTGCTTGTACAACTTAGGCTGCGGTCACACGGAGCATTAGCCACGCTACAGGGACGGAAGATAGGCGGATTTTCCGGGCGCAATCTCACCGCCACATCTGGGAAGCGTAGAGCTCCCGAGGCTTCCCGCGGAAAACGCGCGGTAAAAAACTAGTACCTTGGAGGTACTAGTTTCTGGAAACCGCGGGGCAAGGGCGGGCATCTGATCGCATTTCCGGTGGTAGTTCCGGCGCCCGCCCATGTCCCCTAGCAAAAAGGTTTTTTTCCCCCAAGTCTCCACGGATGCGCACAAGCACCCAACGGAGCATGCGCAAACTGTAGTTTAAAAAACAAAACCACACAACTAAGCAGCTCGCTAAGACTTGAGTCGTGCAGAGAAGAGGAGAGCAGCCAGATGAAACGCAACACAGGAAAGAGGGGGGGCTGAGGGTGAGATTTGGTGGGTCGGGGAGAAGGGCAGAAGGACGGAGCAGATCAAGGAAGGGGGAGGAGTGGGGGGTTGAGGGGTGGTTTGGGGGACGGGGCTGAAGGAACGGCTGAGGGAGTGGGGAAGGGCAACTATAGGGGGACAGGGGCTGTGTCATTTGACCCTCGGAAGACCCACCTGAAACAGACTCTGAAGAGTGCACAAAGGTTTTTATTAAGTCTCCACGGGATGCGCACAAGCACCCAACGGAGCATGCGCACACTTCAGTTTAAACAAAACAAACCCCGTTTGCCGCGCTGCCCCGGTTCTTTGCCTGTGGTATGATCGGCACCTCCACCCTAACCGTGGGACCTCCATGGGACGTCGGATCGCGCAACCGCGCGTTATTTAGCCCCGGGGCAAACAGCTCCCCCCTGCATTTTCCGGCCAGTGTGACCGGAGCCTTTGTTAACTTAAAACTTTATTAAAGGTCTTTATTAAGGTCTTGCATAGTTATAACGTCTGGTTTTGAATTCAAGTTTTTGGACATCTTATTATGGCTGGTTCCTACAAAATAAGGTCTGTTAACATTAGGGGTCTTGGCAGTTTGGTCAAGAAGAAAAGGGTGTTACAGTACTTGAAGCAACAACATCCTCACATTTTATTTCTGCAAGAATCTCACGTCAGATCAGTTAAATGCCCTGTTCTAAAATCGCCTGCATTTCCCCTACAATATCAAGCACCAGGTTCTTCCAAAGCTAGGGGAGTCGCGATTTTGCTAGCAAGGGATGTAAATTTTATATTCGAAGCTTCTCTTTCCGATCCATTAGGTCATTTTCTTTTCATCAAAGGCACAATTGACATAAAACGTCTGACTCTTGGATCTGTCTACGTGCCCAACTGTAATCAGATCAGCTTTCTAGATGAGGTCTTTTTGAAATTGCATTCTTTTCAAAGCAAAGAAGTCATAATTGGAGGGGACTTCAACTTTATAGCAGATGGGACTTTAGATAGATCCCATCCAAAGCCAAAGAGATCTGGAGTAAAATCATCAGAAACTGCACTTGCTAAACTGTTTACTAAATACCAAGATGTATGGAAGACTCTTCATCCAAAGGAACGGGACTACACATACTATTCTGCTCGCCATGACACGTTCACCAGGATTGACTATCTGCGGAAATCCAATTCTGTCCTTCCAATGATCTCTTCAGCGAATATTGGCCAGAGGCATCTTACAGACCACACGTGGCTAGATTGTCAAATTGATCTTAGTACATCACTTGCTAAAGACATTCAATGGTCTCTGGATAAAAATATTTTATTACAACAATCTGTCAGAGAAAAGCTAGATATGGACATTAAACACTATTTCAAAGAAAATGGTTTGGATGCCACTTCTCTTCCAATAATTTGGGATGCAATGAAGACTGTTCTGCGCAGCTCAATTATTTCAATCTCGGCACAGCTGAAAAGAGAAAAAATCGTATTAGAGTTGAAGCGTTGTCCCAACTTGCAATGTTGGAAAAAGAGCATAAACGAACTGGGGAAAACCAAATTTACGCAAAAATTTTGGCAGAAAGAAAGAACTTAGAATCTATTCGTCTCTCAGATTCAGAAAAATCTTCTCTTTTTAAAACAATGCTACTGGCAAAGATCGGCTAAAAATATCAAAGTGCTGGCATGGAGGGTTAAAGAAAAAAAGAAATCGTCTCAGGTAAAAGCTCTTAAAAACCCAGATGGAAGCACATATTATCTTCCTACAGAAATTGCTCATACCTTCGCTAATTATTATAAAAAGCTGTATAGCTCTGAGAATCCATCCTTAGATTCCATTCAGAATTATTTAGAAGCTACGGATTGTTATCAGCATCTCTCTCTGGACCACTCAACATTTTTGGACAAACCTTTCACAAGGGAAGAATTACAGAACACTATCAAATCCCTGAAACCTAATAAAGCTCCTGGGACAGATGGGCTCCCCTCAGAGTTTTATAAGATTTTCCAATCTTCATTACTGGACCATTTACTACTGGT